TATGCAGTACGTTGGCTAAAACTCAACCAATTGAGATTGTTTTGACCAATGTTACATCAACAGTCTGATCTTAATGTCTGTGCAAAACAAAAACAAACACCTAGAAACTTTCTGAAAAATGGCTGCGGGGGCTTATATTTCTGCAACCTCTAGCTCAAATAACCCCATATTTGGGTCACTAATCCTATCCCGCACCCTCTTGAAGCGCACACAATTTCAAAGGAATCCAACTAATTGTGCCATTTCTTAAGAGGACTTGGGTCAACCTTTAAACAGAAGTCATGATGCAAACTTAATTATAGTGGTGCAGCAGCACTTTAATACTGTTTACAATAGCATTTAAAAACACTGCTTTTGCCTGGAAGAAAGAAAGGGGTGGGGTGGGGAATGAGAGGATCAAAGCAGCAAACAAAACAAAAATCAAACAACTGGGAAATATTTACTCAGGAAAGTCCTTGTGTGTATAAAGAGACGTTTTGCTCACATGTTAGATCTGAACGGAAGCAAATTTGTGCTTCCTTTCACGGGCAAAGTGTTTGTTTTGGTTTTGTTGTATTTTAAAAAGTACTAATATGAGTGCTGTGGAATTATTACAGACTCATTTGGTATAATATTTGTGTATTTTCCCATTTTGCCACATACAAAAAGCGTGCTGGTAAGGTTTAGCTCATAAGGTCTTTGCAGCTGTTTAGTGCCTGACAGTGGAACCAGAGATCCTTGAGGCTTCAGGTGGTACTGCACAACAAAATAAAATAATAGGGTGCATGTAAACATCTATGGCAACCTAAGAGTTAAAATAAAATACAAACATAGCTTTCATTTCTTATAATTCAGTAACTCATCTCAAATCTATTGCCAAATTTATTACTATAGTTTAGTGGCAGTAGGGAATTTGATGAATAATGATGGCATTACAAACAAGAAATAGAAGCAGAACAGAAATATGCTGGTACAGCTGAGTATGGTAGTCCTTGGAATAATTCAAACATATTTCCAGAACATTTGGAAAGAAGCTTCTTTATAAGGTCTACTTAATTGGGTAGGGTATGAGCAGCTGTAACAGAGCAATGTCTCACAGTTTATGCTTTTCAATAATATTTAAAACACCCTTATTTTTATTATTAATAATGAAGGTGGACAGGAAAAATTAATAATAATTAGAAAAGGAGTTGAATACATTCATATATTAAAAAAAGGAGTACTTGTGGCACCTTAGAGACTAACCAATTTATTTGACAGGTTTTATTTTGTGAGCTATGAAAGCTTATGCTCAAATAAATTGGTTAGTCTCTAAGGTGCCACAAGTACTCCTTTTCTTTTTGCGGATACAGACTAACACGCTGCTACTCTGAAACCTTCATATATTAAAGAATCATTACATGTTTGGCTGGACATCACATAAGGTCAAATGTAAAGTTTAATTATCTCAAACATACATTTACAGCAATATTTTCCCATAGTTAATTCCTTTCAGCAAGATTCTGTAGAAAACAGGAGGCAAGACAGCATAAGTCATGTGTCAGAACTGCGCCCCCCCCAATACTGCTTGTACACCCACATATTCAGATGTGCTCTGCAGCTTCTACTGTCACAGTCATGGCCAGATCTACAAAATAATTTGCTATCCAATGTAATGAGCTCTTTTGAAAATCTGGACCCAGATGTGAGTGCTGATCTCTTATGGAAATCTGCATAGCCACTGTGCGTATGCACATTTCTTACCCTGCTCCTCCACTGGTCTTGGGACACATGAATACTTTTATTAAAAGTATCCCCCCTCCACCAACTGTCTGCTCAATATCTTATGTTCACGTGTTCTGTTTCAAAATACTAAATTGACACTTAAAACAAGGGACACCCCTTTGGAGCCAGCCTTTTTAGTCTCTGGCGTAAAACCAAAGAGTAGTGAAGAAAAAAATGCCAAAGTCTAACAGACATTTTCACAATTCAGCTTCTCATATTCCTTACAGAAACAGGATATTCTTAATTATCTTTGTCATAAGGCCATCTTCTCTCACATCATGTTAATAACAGAATGGAAGTCAGGTGGGACATCAGAGCAAACAGGGTACAGGCCTTTAAACAAGGCCACAATGGATACAGTGTGCAGAATTGTTAATGGTTTCAAGCATACAGGAAGTTGAATTCATTGAAGTAATAATGAGCACTGACAATCTGAAGATATTAAGGACACAGATCAAGGTGAGAAAAATATCTGGAAAGCCCACATGGTTATGGGATTCAGAAAAAAGTCATCACTTGCAGCAGCTAAACCAAGAAGAAATACAGACATCTGAAGTATAAATGAAGTATTACAGACTATTTAGGAGTTGGGAAGGGAAGACACTACACTGCTTTTGTGAAGAGAAGAGACTATGTCACTTTTGAGAACAATGTTTTAAATTACATGGATCCACATGAAATGAATACCCGAGTAATCCCTATTATTGGGCCAAATTCTACTCATAATTGTTCAGTATCAATCTTAAAAAATAATATAGAAGCAAATGTGGACAATAGGGGACATTAAAAATATACAGAAGTTTGCTCTCACACCTGAAATCAGGATAATACTATTTCACACTTTAAAAAAAGCTTTATTATTTACAAGATATAATACCTGCAAAATATAAATATAAATATACACACACACACACATTATATATATATATATAAAAACACATTTTAATAAGATAGGTAATAAACCCTGTGAACAGTTTTGAATGCATGCTCCACAGAGAGGAATAAGACATAAAAATACATATTCAGTGTAATACACAAGATCCTCTCCTGCCTTAACTTCTCACCTCACCTAGCAGAATTGTGTTATATTACTTTACATTTCACTTTCTTCCCCCACCCCCCTCCATTATATGCATTCTGGCAACCCCCAATGCTTCCTTTTTAATGGCATTTGCTGTTTGAATGTCATGATTCTTCTGCAAATATTAGGAAAGATGCCCATATTTATTCAACATCACGCAGCCCTCCATTCTGAAGAGGCTTTCAGAAGAAGCTGTTTTTACTGACTATTGTGAACTCCAACCCTGTAATTCCAATGTCTAATAACAACTCTGCTATCAACAAACAAAAAGATCCAAATCCGTTGGTCCAGTGGTGTTCCATCTAGCTTAGATACACTGGCCGAAATACAAAATTTAAGCCCAAATGATGTTTCTTTGGAATGTTAACCAAACTTTACTGAAATATTTTGCCAAATCATTATTTCTAATACTTTAGAAACTAAGTTTACAGTGGTCAATTTCTTTTGGACACCTTCAGCATTTGTTGCCATGTCTCATCTATTCATATGGGCAAACACTGACCCTGCTAACACTTATGCACATAAGTAACTACACATATGAACAGCCCCACTGAACTCAATGCAGGCAATCAGGTGTATAAACTTATGTAGATAAGTGTTTGCATGGATGAAGACTATGAATATATTTCCAGTAAAGCTTGTAGGGAAAATGTAACTGCTCCAATTTTAAATCAACGTCTTTTATATCTTTATAACTCTATTCTCTATTGTTATATCAAATCATTTTCTGAACCTTTCCCAAATGTCTAAAAACAACAGCAGTTCATCACTTGATCTAATAGAAAACTACGTATTTCAGACTACTCAATGACAAATAGGCTACTTACTATTAAAAAAAAAAAAAAAAAAAGAGTTAGGGAGAAAACCAGCCAAGAAGAAAACAAACACTTTCAGATATAGAAGGAAACAATTCCAAATCTGAAATTACACTACTGATCATTCCAAATGAATAATGTTCTCTTGTGGTGATCTTGAGAACACTAGGTCATTTCAGTCCAAAGGCACTATTACCAGATAAAGGTGAAAAATTTGATACTTTCTAAATGATGGAAATAATTTTAAAATAAGATTTTCTTATTAAAAACATGTGCAGGTAAGAGAGTCCCTTCTAGATCGGGTATTAGGTTATCCCAGTCTTCCTACCACCTAACTTTTTACCAGTTTTTTTACTTTTTACCAAACTCTGCATAAAAGATCAGGGAAAAGATGGTACTAACCTGTGCACCACTGGCCATTGGATGCACATGAAGGGACCCATACTGCCATAAAAGGTCCCACTGATTGCATGTGAGCAGACTCCTGTGCTATCTCATTTCAGGATTGATGCCTATATTGTTAATTATAATTTTATCTAAAATTCCCAAGCTTGATAATGGAACACATACAATACCACTAGTTTTTTAACCCCCACTCCGGTAATTTCCAATCTGTAATTTAACAGACACTACCAGTGGTAATTCTCTGGCTTTTCAACAGGTTGGAAACCAGACATTTAAGGAACAGCAGCAATGGTCTTAGATGCACTTGTGAAAATATAATGTAGACTTCTCTCTATAGCAAACTGCAAATAGATGTTAATACCAGAAAAATGATTACTTGAAAGTCTGGCAGGAGAAAATATCAGAAAATGAATGGAGACAGATCAGGGCAATAACCAAGATGGTTTTGATTTGTGTTAATTGTCTCAAAATGAAAGAAAAATTCAAGTGCATAAGCAATTAAACACCAAACTATTTACATGTGACTGAAAAGGGGAACATGGATAAGAGCCTCAAGATTGTGTGGAATGCTCAGTGCTTTTAAACGCATTCAGTGGAACTGTTCCAAGATCAGCCATTTCTAAGAGCGCATTAAAAACACACCTCAGAAGAGAAACTGGAGAACATTTCTTTACTGTGACTCTGTGGAAAGGCAGCTGAGATGAGCCCTTAGAACTCATTTTGTTATCATATTTTTATTGCCACAAGTTTCATTCCCTTGCTCCCTGCATGTGAAAATAGCTCCTATAGTTTGCCAGTGACTGCAGTATAAACTTTGTTTCCTTGCCTTTCAGTTTCCTGATCCCCTTTTCTCTTTAAGCATTAACATGAGAAGACCGAAGGAATACTATGGAGCTATTTAAAGTCAGCTGTCTTCTTAATATGTTGAGATTTAACCACCAAAATATTTTACTTACCACTCCTGGGAATATTTTTTGCAGTCTATCTGCTGCCGCAAGTGCCTTAGGCTTCCCACCATCAAGACAGTCTTCAAACTCGTATAGAGGCTGCCGTACAGGGTTGGAATAGGAGATTTTTGCATTGTCCACAAATGTGATCTGTCTGACTCCCCATCCCTAAACAAATAAAAAAATCCAAGTAATTGGTAATGACTAATTTAACACTGTAAGACTTTAGTTCAAAGGATGTAACAGAAACCCCTTTGAGTCTATAACATTAAAAGCGTAAGTGGACTTTTGTTCACATTTTCAAATTCTAGGTTTAACTGCAGATTGTTATTACAGTTTTAGAAGCTTGCTATAGAAAAATTCCTTTTGATCACACTGAACTGTCTCTCACTGGCACAATTATTTATTTCAAATATTTTGGTTTGAATTTGATTTTGTGAACTCGTGTTATTTTATTCAGGACAAAATTTCACTTTGTACCTAGGCAGTTTTTAATAAAAAAAAAAAAAAAACATAAAACTGCAACATTTCTGTGATACACACATATCCCATATATATGTTGATTTCATTGTATTCTTCCATTCTTTAGCACAAGGATGAAAAAAGTAAACTTTACGAGAGAGAGCAAGTTACCTTCAGGAGTAACTCTGGTACTTACCATTAAGGTTCTGGCTACACAACAACCCAGTGTACCAGCTCCTAGCAGCAGACACTTAGAAGACACAACTTTCTCCAGGTCAAGAGTAGGCACCAACCGCCAGCACATCAATTTAAGATTAAGATCCACAGATGACTCAGCTAACCTATATAATGAAATAAAAAAACCAAACATCATCATTCCTGAATACTCTCTAATGCAGCATTGGCCTTTTGTTCCAACTAAGCACTGGTTCTCAGTTTGTATTTATTTATTTTGGGTGGGGTGGGCTGGAGCTCCCCCCCAACTCATTGCCCCAAATCCCTCTGTGATATACCCCAGCATTTGCGATCATCTCTCTCCTTCTGTCCGCTTGATCTCAGATGAGTTTTCCTTCTCTTTTTAAACCTTGTCTTCTCTATTTTTAAATTTATTCTTCACTGACTTTTTAGTTTTTGTTTCTATATTCTGCCTGTCTGAGGTTTTTACATGTCTCCCATCAATTAAGTATCTGATTACATCACAATCCTGAATGTATTTAGCTTATATTTATTCATAATCCTTATTGTATTTATCCTTTAGGTTGGAAAGTATTATTATCCCCATTTTACAGATGGGGAACTGAAGCATACAGAGAATAAGTCACAACGGTTACACAGGAAGTCTGTGGTGGAACAGGGAATTGAACCTGGGTCTCTTGGGTGTTAGGCTAGCATCCTAAGCAATGGATCATCCTTCTCTACAGGCAAAAAGGAGATAGCCACCTTTGAAGGGTCTCTAGTAAAGGGTGAATGTGCACACAGGGCTGACCCAAGCAGCACAGATGCAGAATTGAAAAGCTCAGGCTAGCAGGCTACATGTGAGCTCTTCCTCTCACAGTCACTTGTGCCTAGATCAGAGGTGGGCAAACTACAGCCTGCGAGCCACATCCAGCCCGTGGGACCCTCCTGCCCGGCCCCTGAGCTCCTAGCCCTGGAGGCTAGCCCCCGGCCCCTCCCCTGCTGTTCCCCCTCCCCCTCCGTGCCACGCTCTGGGCGGCAGACAGCGCAGTTGCAGAACCGCAGCCTGACCCAGTGCTCTGGGTGGCACAGCTGTAGCACTGCCAGCCACTAGTGCTCCAGGCAGCGCGGTAAGGGGGCAGGGGAGTTTGGGGGTATCGTCAGGGATTGGGGGTGTGGATAGGGGTCGAGGGGGTCAGAGGGCGGGGAATGGGAGGTTGGATGGGGCAGGGGTCCCGTGGGGGCAGTCAGGGATGGGGGGTCCGGGATGGTCAGGGGACAGGGAGGTTGGATGGGGCAGGAGTCCTAGGGGAGTTGTCAGGGGAGGGGAGGGGGGTCGGATAGAAGGCTGGGGCTTGGCCACACATGGCTGTTTGGGGAGACACAGCCTCCCTCCCCTAACCAGCCCTCCATACAATTTTGGAAACCCAATGTGGCACTCAGGCCAAAATATTTGCCCACGCCTGGCCTAGATACTACAGAGCTAAATGCAGATATACAACAGAGAGATCAATTTATCTTGCATATCTGTATCTAACTGAGCTTTAGAGGAGCACATCCAAGGTCGGGAAACATTGCACTAGCTAATAAAATAGCTAAATCAGTATACAGTATAAGCATCTCTGAGAATACTTAAAATGAAAAGTAAAAATCACAGAATCTGCTTCAGCATTACACTCCCTGCTATGAATAAAGAACCTTGTCAACAGATTTGACGTTAATCAGTCCATGCTATTTGCTCTCATATACTTTGGCCCTTGCAGAGAATTCTTAAAGGTACTATGAATAAATTCTACTAAACATTTTGTTAATCAGATATATAGTAATAAAAAAGGAAAAGATGAAGCTCTGTTTACCTACAGCATTATTTACCTATGCAAATTTTGACATTCTATCCTATTGTCCTCTCATATATCAATCAATACACCAAAAATAGTAACACAAACTTTTATAAAAATGTTTACTGTGGTTCTTACAAATGAATTAGAAAGATGCTGAAACAAGAACAACAAGACAATCAGTAATTGTCCTATTTTTAAAAACTTACTCACTAGGTATTTGACAAGATTGCCATTAAACATATACTTCATGCTAGGAAAAATCGTATACTCCAGAGGCCCATAAGTAATTAACTGCTATGCTGATGACATCATCATCATCATCTGGACCCCTGGAAAAGAAGCGCTTGAGGAATTCCACCATGATTTCAACAATTTCCATCCCACCATCAACCTCCGCCTAGACCAATCCACACAAGCAGTCCGTTTCCTGGACACTACTGTGCTAATAAGCGATGGTCACATAAACACCACAAACCTATACCGGAAACCTACTGACCACTATACTTACCTACATGCCTCCAGCTTCCATCCAGGACACACCACACGATCCATTGTCTACAGCGAAGCTCTAAGATACAACTGCATTTGCTCCAATCCCTCAGACAGAGACAAACACCTACAAGATCTCTATTAATCATTCTTAAAACTACAATACCCACCTCCTGAAGTGAAAAAACAGATTGACAGAGCCAGAAGAGTACCAAGAAGTCACCTACTACAGGACAGGCCCAACAAAGAAAATAATAGAACGCCACAAGCTGTCACCCTCAGTCCCACTAAAACCTCTCCAGTGCATCATCAAAGATCTACAACCTATCCTGAAAAATGATCCCTCACTCTCACAGATCTTGGGAGACAGACCAGTCCTTGCTTACAGACAGCTCCCCAACCTGAAGCAAATACTCTCCAGCAACCACACACCACACCACAAACACATTAACCCAGGAACCTATCCTTGCAACAAAGCCCGATGCCAACTCTGTCCGTATATTTATTCAAGTGACACCATCATAGGGCCTAATCACATTAGCCATGCCATCAGGGGCTCATTCATCTGCACATTTACCAATGTGCTATATGCCATCATGTGCCAGCAATGCCCCTCTGCCATGTACGTTGGCCAGACTAGATAGTCTCTACACAAAAGAATAAATGGACACAAATCTGACATCAGGAATCATAACATTCAAAAACCGGTAGGAGAACACTTCATCCTCTCTGGCCACTCAGTAAAAGACTTAAGGGTGGCAATTTTGCAACAGAAAAGCTTCAAAAACAGACTCCAACGAGAAACTGCTGAGCTTGAATTAATATGCAAACTAGATACCATTAACTTGGGTTTGAACAGAGACTGGGAGTGGCTGGGTCATTACACATATTGAATCTATTTCCCCATGTTAAGTATCTTCACACCTTCTTGTCAACTGTCTAAATGGACCATCTTGATTATCACTACAAAAGTTTTTTTCTCCTGCTGATAATCGCTCATCTTAATTAATTAGCCTCTTACAGTCTGTATGGCAACTTCCACCTTCTCTGTATGTATATGTATATATCTTCTTACTATATGTTCCATTCTATGTGTCCGATGAAGTGGGCTTTAGCCCACGAAAGCTTATGCTCCAATAAATTTGTTAGTCTCAAAGGTGCCACAAGTACTCCTGTTCTTTAAACCAAATAAGGCAGTCCATGAAAATTACATTTATTTTCATAGAGTTTAAGTCCAGAAGGGGCATTAGATCATCCAGTCTGACCTCCTGAATAGCGCAGACCATTAGATACTTCACTCAAGTACTCCTATATTAAGCCCAGTGACACTAGTTGGACTGAAGCATTTCAGTCCTCAGGAGACTAAACTACTGTGTGCCACAGACAGAAAACAGGAGAGACCACAATGCCACCAATGCTCAAGGCCTCTGCAAAGGCAGGAAAGTGATGAGGTGAGATATGCCCAAATGATTCCAGCAGGCAATCCATGCCCCATGCTGTAAGGGAAGGTGGGGAAAAATAATTTAATTATTTTGGATTAAGTCCAAAGCCCATGGAAGTTAATGGAATTGGATCACGCCCCTAAAGTCTGCTGGACAAGTCACTGACCCACATTTTATATTTCAAGGTGAACAGCCTCTGACCCAAGTTTGAAAATGAGAAGCGGCCTTTCACCTCAGATTCTATCCAAATGCCACAGGTAATCTGTCCCATCCCCTAGCCTGCTACTTTGTTAAATTCTTTCTCTGATGCCCCTCAGCTAATCACCCTCACACTGCACAAGAATGATTATACATGAGTGCAGTATTGATCACTGTGTGGAAGCTTTAAAGGATACCAAAGCAGTTAACCAATTTTATTTTCAGCCTATGTTGTATTTGCTCGCTGGTCAATGCACCAGGCTTTTAAAGTTCTGAGCAGAGCAGATCACAGCAGCTTATCCGTGAGGGAGATAAATGACACATAACAAACAGGAGCCTTCTTTCTGCCAGAACCAGCCCTCCTTACACTCAGCATGGTCCCCTCTTTCAGTCTCACATAAGTCTTGATTTGTTTTTATCACCTCATTTTTGCAGAGGGATCCACTACATCACATCCAGTCATTGAGTACAGCTATGCATCATACACTAATTTTTTTGCATCTTCCAGCTTCTCCTCAGGAAGGGCTGTGTGTATCTTTTCTACCTTTTCCATCATTCACTTGTAGACCTCAGAAGTAGAGGGAGTGGAAAACTATCCATAAAATTAAAACTGTTCAATACTGCAAGGTGCTAAACACCCTCAACTTCCACTGACTTCAGCAGCAGTTGAGGGCATGCACCTTCTCACAGGACCATTCTGCACCCTGCACAATCAAAACCAAGGGACACAATGATGGAAGTTACCAAGGCCACATTCTTTACAGCAGTCAACCTGTTCTTATGTCTTGCCAGCCATTAAGTACATTGTGAGTCTGCATTGATAAAGTTAAACTAAAAAGGAAGGACAATAAGTAAAATCACAGACTTCAACAGTACAAACATACGTCTATGCACAGAAACACAGGTACACAGAAATACAGCTTGCATTCAATTTAACTTTAAAAAATAACTAATCTGGATTTCCAAATTAGTGCCCCATTCTGGAAGCACTTATTACTAGGCATGGTGCTTTCTACTCTGAGAAGTTCCACTGTCTTCAATGGGACCTTTCATGGGAGTCTACATTGCACCTGGTAAAAATGGACGGCAGGATTATCACAACTGTATTTTCTTATCTGACAAAGCACATTTAAGATCCAGGTAGTCTTTGGACCTTACATTCTCATTCCCCATACCCTCAAAGCCTGGTATATTTCAGGCCTGATCAGATTATAAATGTGTTTAAACCACCACATACCTTTTAGGATCCATACATTCACTGAGATTCACCATTCTTGGACCCATGCCTCCTTTTTGGTTTTTCTCCCATCCAACAGCTTTTGGACAATCTACTTTTCAAAAAACCAAACAAACAAAAAACTCCATATTAAAAACCTAAATTTCACCTTGCCAAACAAAAAAAACCACACACACACACTCTGCCCTACCACCACCTTTCCCAAAACTGTCAATTCATTAAGGATGTTAAATAACTGAACTCTTCACTGCAATATAGATTCTATTATATGGCAAAAATTTGGTAGAAAGTGTCCCTTTTTTCATATTGAGTGCACCACGCACTGCTTTTTATTCTAGTGTTTTAAAGCATGTTAGTTGAAAAGTCTTAGCTAACATGCTTTTAAACTTGTTTTCCTAGTCTGGACATAACCTCTAACATACTGAACCTAAATAGACTTGGCTGCACCTAATTAGTTCCCAGCTGTGAGTGTCTCCCTGAGCTGTCTCTGGAGTCTGGCCGGGAATTAACCCTCAAAATCTCAGGCCATTGTCAAGACAGATGGGTCTTTCTCCTAAAGACATCATTGGGGCAGGGGACAGCAGAACACCAGATCCCCTCAAGAGTACCAAAAATCTTGTTCACCCACACACATGTGCCTATATCAGCTTTTAAACTGAAGCCTCCTGTATGTGAGTATTAAATTTGGCATCTACAGATATATTTTTTCAGCACAGAGCAGCCACAGTGTGCTAGGCACTTTAGAGACTGAGAAAAGACATGGGAAGAAGTGAGAGAAAGGGAGGAAAAAGTTTACAAGAATAAGAATGTGTGGTTCTTTTGATTAGCAATATTTAATATTACATTTTCTATCTCCATCTGTAAGCTTGTTAACTATTTTAATATCTACACGGTTCTTTCCCAGGTATTTCTTAAGCTTCTTATAAGTAATAAACAAACAGTGTGATTCTCAGAGCTAGAAGAGAGGCATATGAATCAGAACATCTGTGTTCTATTCCCAGCTCTGACAAAGACTAGCAAAGAGCTACACTCATGTTTAAAGTGGTGCACAGGACTGGGGGCTAAGTGACCTTGGGCAAGTCACTTCACTTCTCCATGCCTTGGTGTCCCTACCTGGGTATAAACCCACTTGCTGACTTCGCATGCATGGTGACTTTTATTTTAACTATTATTTGTGAAATACTCTGAGACCCTCAGATGAAAGGACCTATAAATAGTTTTGTTCTGATGCAATATTATCAATAGCAACTGAGTCCTGGTTTCCCAAATTCACAATGCATTGCTCTAATTTCCTTCAGGTCTTCATACCACGAGACATAGATACAAAAACACCCCAAACTCCAAACATACCAAAATTGTGATTTTTGTGGTTTTATCAATCTACTCTGTAGTCTCAGAAATTAGAGTTTCATGCACTTATTACGATTGTGTGTATTTTTGGTAGTCTAGTGATTAAACACACTTTTAATAAGAAATGATAACATACACGAATAATGTATGCACTGTTACAGAAATTACCTGTTGTTGTATCATGCTTGTAATTAAAATGAGAGCATAAAGGCTCGGTGATTATGGCAGAAGAAAAAAAAATCTTACTCTCAAAGTAAATTATCCTCTTTCCTTCTGGAAGATAAAACTATTTTCTTCAGAAAGACATTTGAATAATTTAAGATGCACTAAAACAACCAAGTCCAGTGGCACCTTAAAGACTAATAGATTTATTTGGGCATAAGCTTTCGTGGGTAAAAACCCCACTTCTTCAAATGAATGGAGTGAAAATTACAGAAACAGGCACAAATATATATTGGCACATGAAGAAAAGGGAGTTACTTTACAAGTGGAGAACCGAAGTTGAAGGCCAATTTAATCAGGGTGGATGTGGTCCACACCCAAGAATTGATGAGGAGGTGTCAATACCAAGAGAGGGAAAATTGCTTTTATAGTGAGCCAACCACTCCCAGTCCCTATTCAAGCCCAACCTGATGGTATTAAGTTTGTAAATGAATTGTAACTCAGAAGTTTGTCTTTGAAGTCTATTTTTGAAGGTTTTTTGTTGAAGAATGCTACTTTTAAATCTGTTATTGAGTGTCCAGGGAGACTGAAGTGTTCTCCTACTGGCTTTTGTACATTATCATTCCTGATGTCTGATTTGCGTCCATTTATCCTTTTACGTAGAGACTGTCCGATCTGGCCAATGTACATGGCAAAGGGGCATTGCTGTCACATGATGGCATATATCACATTAGTAGATGTGCAGGTGAATGAGCCTCTGATGGTGTGGCTGGGTCCTATGATGGTGTCGCTAGAGTAGATATGGGGACAGAGAAGGCAACGAAGTTTCTTACAGGGATAGGGTCCTGGGTTAGTGTTTCTGTGGTGTGGTGTGTAGTTGCTGGTGAGTAATTTTCACTCCATACATCTGAAGAAGTGGGTTTTTTACCCACAAAAGCTTATGCCCAAATAAATCTGTTAGTGTTTAAGGTGCCACCGGACTCCTCGTTGTTTTTGTGGATACAGACTAACACGGCTACCCCTCTGATACTTAAGATGCACTATTTTTGAGGTAGCGGTTAACATCAGCAACAAGTTAGCAGCACTAACCTCTCCTCTATCTTCTTAGTGATCATGGAGAAGAGAAGTCAAGTAACATTAGTTTCCATATTCTGAAAGCCATCCTTTGACAATGGATTACCTGGGCTCTGTGGCATCTGTGGAAGCTTTATTTCAAAGATGCTGCTGTGTGTTAGGTCTCTCACGCCTTGCATGGTCCTGTCTCTGAAGCAGAGCACTTCAACTGAATGGAGGTGGCTACCCCTGGCATTAAAATAATAAAATAAATAAATAGCAAGGTAGTTATAAAAGATCTGGAACTCCTCCAGCAGAAAAGAAGGATAGTCAAGCAGGAACTTCGCTTTATTAGTCCTCTGGTGTCATAGAGGTTTAATCCTTTGGAAACTCAGGCTATGACAAATCTTCGATTGATATTGGATTCACATATGATAATGTGCCTATACTTCTATCTGATCAAACATGAAGAAACCCAATATGATTAATGAATACCTAAAGCAGTTCACTCTTATATGGAAACTGGTGCAGCTCCCCTGAAATTGCACTCGGGACTTCCCCACTGTTAACTACCCATCTGCACAATGTTACTGGGAACTAGAAGCAACATATGTTTTGAGGCATAATGACCAGAGAAGCCCCAGAGTACAATAAAGCTGCAATGACAGTGTAGAAGGAGGTGCCATCCTACTTCCTCCATGGCTTAGCACGCTCCTCAGAATCCTTCATCTGATTCAGTTTTTGTATCCTCCCCCTTCACCAACTTAGCTTTGCACCCATTATTCATATTCACTCAAGGTTGAGCACCAAAGTAAAATAATTAGGTGTTTGGCAAATAATGGAATTGGGGAATTCTCATATCCCCACAGGATGCACAGATAAGTGATATGCACACAGAAATACCCTCCTATGCTATCGTTCACCTAGCAGCCTGGAAAATGCCACTGTTAATGTGGCTAAATGACGTCTGTCGTCTCATTACACATTACTAGAAGGTCAAAAATTTGACGTTTCAGCTTAAGTTAACCAATCAAACAAACCAATGTTAGATAGATGGTATTTTATAATGCAAAAGATGACAGTGTGAAATAAAACAAAAACAGATGTTCAACCTGGCAATGCAGAAGAACTTTAGAGTATGTGTTCTTCAGACTTTAGCTCATGTACCATTGGTGGTCATTTGACAGTTTTATTCTCTAGAGCAAGACAGCTTTCCAATGGCACTTGCCCACATTAGCATCCTCAATTACTCTGTACCACACAACAAATAAATCCAGAGACTAGACTGGCTTTCAGGTTTTGCTTCTACTCATGTAGAAATCAGCTATATGATGAAGTGACAGTAGCTGCCCCTTAGTTTAAGTTAAAGCCAGCTTCCCTTTATAAACCCAGTTATTAACCCTCCTCTGCTCCAAATTCCCCCAAAAGATGATTTTTTTTTAAACTTTTACCAAACTTTTCAGAAATAAATCTCTGCTCTGGAATGTGATGTAGCAGATTAAATTTCAGAAAGATTTGGAGTGGAAAGAATTTAAAAATAGGGCTCAAAAATCTAGAAACAAACCATTAAGAATGTGGGGAAAGGAGCCAAGAAATGAAGGATTATATGGAAGTAGCAACAGGCTGCATCCCTTGCCTTTGCCCACTTAAAATTTGCAAAAAATATGCAGAAAGATCAAAATAACAAATTTCTAAAGTATTATGGAATCCCATTTCCTATTCAAGGGATCCATTTCCAACACACTCCTAGTAATTTCTTATTTTCACCTTTGCATATAGTTTTCCATATTTCGGGGCAAAGTTAAGGTTCAGGGTGTGCTGTGTAAGTCAGATAGGCCGAAAAAAGGCCTCATCTAATAAGAGATAAAACCAGTACCATTTGTGTGCTACCATGACCAGTAAGTTCCGCAGCGGCCATCCTGGATACTGGGTAAAATTGCAGGGATCATAAACTCCAACTGTCACCTGCAAACAAAACAGCCCCATTGAAAACTCTATGCATAATAGCACAAGATTCACAGTAATAGCTGTCAGTGTATCTTGTTATTTTAAATGTTCTGTCAGTAAGAAATCACATATGGCATTTAAAAAAGAATTAACAACTCCTACGAAACTGTGACGTATTATATGCCATTTTACGCAGTTTAATGCTTCCCAAAGCTGCCAGTTTTCTTCATTTTGGTCACCTAACATTCACTTGTACTGCACTGCATCATATCCATTTCCTCAACTATCTAAGCCCAAACAGGTTTTTTAAAACTGCTTAAGATGCCTACCAAGTGGTCAGATTATTGCCTTGATTCATAAGCAAGCCCTCCTGTTGATCGATGGTGGATAATCATGGTATAAAAGGAGACAGGGTAATAGATGCTGGGTCAGTCAATGTAAAGGTAAAGTCACTGCAAGGGCAATCCTTTATTCAAGGATTTAAGCACAGACTCAGTTATTGCCCTCCAAACTGAACACTAAGAAAGGACTTTATTTTGTAAGATACAGGCTTCTCTCATATAGAGAGAGATCCCATCTGACAGGCCATGCTTGTATCTATGATCTAATATTATTTCAAATCACACTTACAGTGCCACTTTTTAAATTCAGTCTTTAAAGTTTCCTTATTTCAAAATACCTACATAGCCACAATACAATATTTCCTTATTTTAGAAAAGGAATGGAAAAAACAGAGGAAATAGGAGCTCAAATGTTATAAAACAGAGTTGAACTACTTCAATGACTATTTTAATTTCTTCCCTGTGTGTGAGATATGAATTGCTTTACAGACTTCTATTCTGCACAATTACCTCTCCCTCAGCCTCTGTTATGGAGCTTTGCTCCTCAGTAAATTTTTAGGGTTATAAAGTAAGAAAAACTATTCAAGGCTCTGAGTTAAGGTTAATCAAAATAAAGAGGGCTCTGAAGAATTTCAGAAGGACCTAACAAAGCTAGGCATCTGGACAACGTGATGATAAATGAAACAGATAAGTACTACGTAATGTATAACTAGCTTGGCCAACCCTTGCCTTGATGCCTTCTGCTTTATGAATGATCAGGATGGAAATTCTCTTGTGGCTCCAAGGAACGTAGAGTGCTTTTTTCACATTCAAAAGGAGACATGCAGAGAATGATTTCCCCATAACATAAAAAAATCATTCCAGCCTCATCTAACCAACATTTAGCCTGCATCACATCTACAGGACTATGAAGGACTTAACTTTACACTGTTCAAATACAGATTTTCTTTTTCAGCAGAGTTTAAAAAGGAGCCAGTTTTTCTTGTATTATTGCTGGTACTTTGAAAGATACAAGCTGAATATATTCATATTAACATTCTTTATTAATTTATAATGGGACGATATATTTTTATTTCGTAGAAGGTCACTGTTATAACATTTCCAGGTGTACTTAAAGCTAGTGCAGCATCTATAGAAATGAATTGTTGCATACTCCTCCCCTATATGCAGCATACAAGCAAATAAATAATAATATAGGTGGGCTTTGCACTTACATAATGCTAGGTGTTCAAAGTGACTAAGAAATATTATTAACCCATCCTCATAACAGCTACGTTTTATTATCTCTCTTTTATAGGTGGGGTAATGAGTATAGAGAGCGCAAGTACCAAATTTTCAAACCATCCACTAATTTGGGAAGCCTGGACTTTTGGATACCCAGGTTGAGATGCCTAAAACTAGACTCTCTGAAGTCCAGGAGTAATCAATGGGAGCAACTGGTGTACAGAGACTTGACCTACTCTACTCAGTAGACAAGCACTGGATCTCAGTATAGTATTCTAGCCACAGGTTAAACAGTTTGTACATTCAGCACAAATATTCTGGCATTCGAGCATATGTACAGAATTCCCCTTACCTTTTCTTCTTGATCTTGGAAAAAATCATTCCAGTTTTTAAGCAGTGACACCAAAACAGACTTGTCATTATACTTGATTAAAAAGTAAGGCAAGGCTGTAACTCTTTCCATCTGGCAAAGTTCATCATATGCTTTCTGGAGCGCTTGAATCTGAAAGCAAAAAAGACATCACAACAGATGGTTGGAATTATCCTAATTCAGCAGTGCTTGTGGGAGTCGAAAAATATTTCCTTAACTGAATATGTAATACCTTTTTTCTTTTAACTTGCTGAACACAAGTGTATCTATTCTAACAGTTTTTAACCATTTATTCAGTAGTTTTTTAAAAAAATTTATAACCAAGCATTTGAGAGTAATATGCAAAAGTTAAAACCATATAATCTTCAATGCAAAACAGGCAGAAGAAGCACTTCTGTCACTGTTACAAACTGATATATGGGGGAAAAAAAGACAAAACAAAATTACAGTGTTATTCTTAGGGCCAAAACAACTTGCAAATATGGAAGTCCCCTAAATAATAATAGTCCCACTGTTGGAGAGAGAGAGAGAGGGCTGAGAGCTCTGATTTGTCCTTAAAATACAAAAATATGGATCGGATGCTGGTAAACATTGATCATGATGCTGCATAATGATCAGCATCATCCATTCCATCTACTTTGGTTTTCAGTGGTCAGCTGCAATTGCTTCTTTATATCCTGACATCTACACTTTAACTGTACCATTGACTACCATCCCACATAAACTATGTTTTTTTGAGAGAAACAGTCTTTAGTCCTCCATTCTGTTTAAAAAGGAAGTATGAATAACCACAAAAATTAAACTCTCTTTCCTACTTTCAAAATACTCAACTGTTATTAGAGAGACAAGGTGGTTGAGGCAATATCTTTTATAGACCAACTGCTGTTGGTGAGAGAAATAAGCTGTAGCTCAAAAGCTTGTCTCTTTCACCAACAATAGCATGACCAATAAAAGATAATACCTCACCCACCTTGTCTCTAATATCCCTGGACCAAGACGGCTACAACAACACCACTACATACAACTGTTATTATCCAAATTGCTATAGTAAAAGTAACCAATTCTTCTAATGCTCATTAGTAACCACCTAGAACATTCCTGTAAGACTACATCTAAACCATTTCTAGAGGTGTATTTTAACTGTATTCCACTGTTAGATGATAAAATGCTTTGTGTAGTATGTTTGCGCTGTTGTACCAAGCTTCTCTCCCACATACCTCGCTATGGGGCTCAGCTTCCCACCAATTTCTAGTGGCATTAAAAGCACTTCACGGTTCAACACTAACTCACTCCAGTTAAAACAAAGGGTACAACTGAGTAACTCTACAATTTCTTTCTACCTTAGTAGCACAGAACTAACAGACTCATTCTCCCCTCAGGAGTTCCTACTTGCCCTCTGTCTCATAACCTAGTTCCCTTCTTCCCTGCACAGTCATGTGTTAACATTTTTTGCCGTACTTCTACAAATAATCCAGGCATATCTTTTAAACCAACATCTTCCTGAACTAGAAGGATGATGATGATTTATTTCCAATGAGAATGCTTTACACCAGCAGTACTCAAACTATGGGGCGTTTGAGAAGCATGGGAATGTGTCAAGGGAGGTGAGAGCTGTGGGGTGGGTTTTTTTGGTTAAGAGCTCTGGTTGTCAGCCCCAGGTGGCTGGCGCTTGTGCAGAACAGCCGTGCACACCCGGAAAGTCGGGATAAAGGGGAAAGTTGGAGCCCCACCGCATTAGAACTGACAGCCAGAGCCCTGCCACCTGGGTTCGGGCTCTCCCCCATTTCCCACCATCCCTCAGCGGGAGGCAACCCCAGGCTCAAGCTCTCCTTCCCACCCCCCATGTGGGGGAGGCAGCGCTCTGGCTATCTGCCCTGGAGTGGCAACAGCAGCAGAACAGAAGTAAGGGTGGCAATGAGGCGCTAATATCACTGTTCACATTGCCACCCTTACTTCTGGGCTGCTGCTGGTGTGGCGCTGCCTTCAGAACTAGGTGCCCAGCCAGCAGCCACTACTGTCTGCTCTGCCTTCAGAGCTGGGTGGAGGTATATGTACTTGGGAGAGAGGGGGCGTAAATGACTACAGACACAAAAAAGGGGGGCTCGATCAAATAAGTTTGAGAACCACTGCTTTAGATTATCCTATCACTGTATTTTCAATCAAAAGAAAAAATTGAAAGGTGCAGTCTCACCTTGAGCCATCAATGAAAAGGGCTCCACCACAGTCCACACACTAAGATGAAACAGTACCATTTAAAAATACATGTTCAATTTACAAAATTCAGGTAAGACCCTTTTTAGTACAAAGGGCTTACGGTATCCTCAATATGCTCCTACAATGTCAATCTTCGTCTTTCACTATAAGATGCTCCATCTACAATCATTTTAGTCAGAATAATAAAATAATTGTTCAGCTTTTTTTTGTAGAATTTGAAACAGTTATTAAAGACATAACTCTAAAGAAAACTGATTTAAAATCAATGTTATTACATAATTGGATTCCTGTGAACTCTCAGTTTCTAACCAAGAAGCCTGAAGCTGTTGCCAAACAGTCACCCTATTTTTTAAACTGTTTTCCTGAGACCATTCCTCTGCATGTCTACACTTTCTAATCCAGTGCAACAGCTTTTTCTTTGCTACCGCCTTCTTGTCTCAAGTTTGACCTCTAGTTCATCAGTCAAATGTTTCTGCTGCTGACAGAATCTTGCTATCACACCAGCCTCCTTTTCTGTCAGATAAATCATCATCCACAATACCCTCAACCACATTCTTCTTTCCAGGATAGCCATGATGTTCTCTAGACTCAAAAGTTATTAATATATATTATTTGTACTGCAGTAGTACCCAGTCATGCCCCATTGTGCTAAGTAGTGTGCAAACACAAAAAACATTCACTGCCCTGAAGAGTTAATATTTTCAATAAAGACAACACACAAAAGGAGAGAGCAAGATAAATTTCTCTTAAGGCTGACCAAGTCCCTCCCCAGGCTCTATTCCCACCAGGCTAACAACTAGAGCTAGTTGGGAATTTTTTGATGAAACATTTTTTCATTGGAAAATGCCAAATCTGTATAAACCAAAACCACTGTGGAAAAACATTGGTTTCAATGAACTGCCTATTTTTAAAAAAAATTGAATTTTTTTTTAAATTGCCCCATTTTGATATTTTAAAAACCGTTTTTTGATTCTTCTTTAGAATTTTACATTAGTAAAAAAAGTACAAACATTTTGAAATGGTCAAAGTTGAAACAAAATATTTCAAAATCATGAACATGTTTCAACCGACTTGCTAGAAATACAAAAAAATTTTAGATCTTGTGAAAATTTTGACTTTTTTTTTCCCCCCTAGTATGTAGTGGGGAACTTTTTCAGAATCTCAAAAGTTCTCATAAGATGGGAAAACTATTTCTTTATCAGCTCTATTAACAACCTACTCTCCCAGACCACACTGTCTCTGAAATGCTTAAAAATCTTTTGTACATTCAATATTCTGTCCAAAGATACCAACATGAGCCCAGTCATGATTTATACTCAACCTCTTCACCTAACTGGATTGTTGCAAGAGGCAATAAAACATCAAAATGAGAATTTTATAATGTAAAAAAGAAATAAAAGTATAAAATCAATAACTCAGACAAACTAGCTACACCACTTAAAACTCACCAAGTTCAAGGACAAACTATGTAGTTTTACAAGCAATAAAGAAGATTGATCAGTACTAAAGATTTGACAGTGGGTGTTTGAGTACCTGAGTTGGAGAGAACCTTTCACCTAGGCAGACTGCCTGCTGAACAATAGGTATGCCATCAGGGAAGCAGAGAGCAGGGTAGCAAAACCAGTAATAGAAGCGATACTTTTTTAAATCCTAGAGGAAAAAAAATATATATGCACATGTTAGAAGACAAATAATTACTAACCCAACTAGCCACTTAAAAACTGAGTGATTATAGCACTCCCAGTTACAGCTATGGCCATGATCCTGCAAACACTTAAGCAGGTCTTTAACTTTGCTCATGCAGACCCATTGGAGTAAAGTTAAGAATGTGTGTAAGTAGTTTGCAGACTAGGGGACCATGAGAGTTGTGTCAAGGAATTACACAATAGGAAACTGAGTTAATTCCATTTTTTTATTATTAAATATACTTTTTAATTTCTTGGCAAATATAGCAATGCAGCCCCAGATCTCAAGAGGCCTCCTGGAATTTTGCAACAAGGCCTCAGATGCACGCCACACAGGGCGGGACAGCAGCCCCAACCCTGCCACAGCAGCCCGGACCCGACCACGCCGAGCAGCTGGGAACCTAGACCCTGCCATGCAGGCCAGCCTTTAGCATACAGCTGAGCTGGGCTGTAGCTGTGTGCTACTTGGGCCACACGCAGCCCATGGGCCACTGGTTGAGAACCGCTGCATGAGAGGTTCCCAATCTGTGTTCCATGGACTGCTGCAAGTTTGTGAAGCAGTTACTTACTGGTGGTCCATGGATAGATGGTTGGTCACATGAGGCTGGCTCTTTTTTTTCTCGTTACTAAATTGCATTAAAATACAGCCAAACATACAAGAAATAACATCCTAATATTACTTTTCAATGTAAACAATTGCTGCAGTTGCCAGATATATGTTGTGTAAGGATTTCCATACAAATCAAGAATGGAAGGAGAGGTTGTATCCAAGAGAGACACTATAAAATATTTCAGAATCCCTGCACTAGACATAACTTACTCCACTTCTACTGTTAAACTGATTTTATTGGACAGCACCATAATGCAGTTAAACTATAAAGCTACACAAATCAGTTTTGCATATTCCAACTGTTTTTGTTTCTATTTTTGAGCAAAGCTAGAGTTTTAAATATGCCACATTATCATACATATGGTTAGGGTTTTTTTTGTTTTTATTTTTTTTTACTTAAATAGACCAGATGGATGAAAGCTTTTAAAATGGTCAGCACAAATGTGTGACCAATGTGGAGTACAGCCCAGTTACAAATCACCCTCGGTTTACCTCTGAACTTTTCTCTCTCCTTCTTCGTGTTAATTCCATCAACTGGGGTCCTCTCAACAAGCCCTCTCCCACCAAAGTGCTCTGTTTAATGCCATATCCTCCATCTTACCACATACCAACATGTCTTCCTTTACGACATCCCACCACTTTTTCTTGGGTTGGCTTCTCTGTCTTTTTCCTTCCATCTTGATCTGTTGGTCTCTCTTACCAACATAGCTGCGCTTTACATGACCAAAACATCTGAGTCTGCATATCCTCATTTTTTTATCCCAAAGGCTGTCAAAAGTGACAACTCTGTACAAACAGTTGTCATGAATAAACATGGTGAACTTTTCCTTATTTAAATATTCCCTTATAGCACAGACAGGCATTAAGTGAAAGCAAGCACCGTTTATGAGATCATTATCTCTGCACAGTTTTAATTTGACCTGATCTTTAAAAGATCAAATAATTTGTGCTCTAGGATATCTTTATTAAAAAGGCCATGGTTTTCTGTAATCTATACAGTGGTATCTATAGTAAATTAAGAGATTATTATATTTGAAACAGAGATACACCCACACAGATCCATTCTCTCTCTCACACACACACACACAAAGTATACAGAAACTTGATTAAACGCATAATTCAGCTTTTATATTGGGAATCTGTAAATCTTTTAATCAGAAAGAGCAGTTTAATATATTAACGTCTCATGACATTTAATTGATACCAGTATTTTGTATATTTTTTTCATATAAGGAAAGGTTCTAACATAAAATAATCTCTTTCTGAGCTATGCCAAACATATGGAAGGTAAAAGTATCAGACTTAAAAATTAAACATTATAACACTTCTATTTTTTAGCTATAGTGAAGAACGTTCCTTGAAGTCCAATGAAACACAGGCAACCAGATATTTTAGAATGTATGTACTTGTAATCTGAGAAATACACCCACAACAAATTTTTTATAGTTATAAAATAAAGGAAACTATGGCCATAATCCTGCAAAAACATGCACACAGGTCTAACTTCAATAGGACTATATCTGTCCTTTAAATTCAGTGCATGTGTATATGTTTTCAGGAGTGGTATATTTGCACATGCTTAGTTAGGTGAGAGAAAGCACAAAAGGCAAGGAGAAGGTGCAGCAAGCAGTAAACTTAACCTAGACATATAAGGCTAACTGGAACTGTTAAAGATACTTGGTTGAGATTTTCACAGCAGACTAGAGGATTTAGGAACACAGCTCCCATTAACTTCAATGGGAGTTGCATGGCTAAAACTTAGTTGGCTTTGAAAACGTCAACCTATATTTATAATTACAACCATTTTCTCATTTTCCTCTACATCAGAAGAGGAACATTTGTACCCAACTTAGTGAAGGAAGCTTAGTCTAGTCATCTAAACATTGTAACACATAGGATACTTGCAATGAAACATTCAATTTCCATCAGATCAACTCACCCTTCAAAGGTAGACAAATGGAGTACAGTGAAACTTACTTTGCGCAAACCCTGGTGCAGTTTCCAGAAAGGTTCTGTCTGCTTTGAACGGACAATAAGTATCCTGTCCCATTTATTGCTTTAGGTGTAGATTTTTGGCCGGCTGCTCTTCATCAACATTTTCCATTACTGTGCAGTGTGCTGTGCATCAGCGAACAGCTGCTTTTGACCCCAGCAGTGGCTACATTTCAGTTCTGCAGTGTGGTGTCACAAAAGTGACACCACAGTTAAGGTTGTGCCAAATTTTCAATTTCGTAGCAATGACAAAGTTATTTAAAAATTGTGTGTTTTGAATTGTAGAATTAATTTGAATACTCTGAAGGGCAGGAGTGGGGAGAAAAGAGAAGGGAAAAATCATCCGGAGTTTAGTTAAATCTATTCCAAAAACCACCATGTGATAAAAAAAATTCTGGAATGTCCTACCTTTTCTTCAAATCCCTTTTAAATATAAAACCAAGCAGTCTAAGGTGTAGTGCATGTAATTCTTTAGTATGTGTTGTCCAGACCAATGTTTGTTAAAACTTTTAACTTATTGGACCTGAGCAATGTTGAATCAGAAGACCTTTCTAAATTAACGGACTGTGGGACAGTCACACATGCCCATCTGTTGATGCAAGAGAGTAGGAGATGGCCATTAAGGTTTTGCAAGTGCAGGTTGATTAAAGTTAGCATGGGTATTGCTTTTCATTATTTGTATTTCTGTATTCATGTATTTCTGCAGTACTGGAGGCTACGGTGGGTGCTTGGGGTGTTCTAATGCAACCTTCACTGTTACTAAGCAAAGTTTGTGTTTGTATGTGGGTTGTGAATTATTTTGGGATCCTTTGGGTTGAAAGGCAAAAGAAGAATATAAACTTGTTGTTATGCACTATTTAACTGAATGCATAGGCACCAACACTGCGCTGAGCACCCACTGGTAGCCTCCCTATCAGCTCCCTGACCTCCTTCAGCGCCTCCTGCCCACCTGCAGGCCCCGCAAAACAGAGCCTCCCCCTCCCTCATCACCCCCCCGCCACTAACAGCTGTTTCGCAGAACGCAGGAGGCTCTGGGGAGGAGGAGCAAGTACGCAGCGCGCTCAGGGAAGGGGGTGGAGCAGCGGCGGGAAGAGGTGGGGTAGGAGTGGAACATTGGGGGAAAAGAGGTGGAGTGGGGGAAAGGCCTGGATCAGAGCTGGGGGTCGAGCACCCCTTGGCACTTCGAAACGTTGGTGCCCGTGACTGAATGAGCTATACTATGATAAGAGTGCTTGTACCCGTGATGAAAGAGTTGAGCAATATTCTTTTAGCACTTATTCTCATCTTCCCATCTCTCCAGCAAATTTATTGCTCAGGGAATAAGTGAATCAAGCCTGCAGGTTCTTTGATCAGTCTTGACTTTTATTGTGCTCACTTGACCCAGGAGTTTAATTGCCATTATTTATTTTTATATATGGAATCCAAGAATCCTTTACATTTGTAGAGAAGCACATGAATGTACAAAATGCAGTCTGGTAACTACAGTAGTTATATTACTACTTTTCACTGACATGGTTCATTATTATTTGTGTTTCACTATTCAGAGTATGGAATAAATTGCATTACTTACTGCGAAAGTCAGAAGCAGGAATTTGTTCAAGAGCATGGGGTTTTCAAGGGCAGTCCCCGATTTTATCGTCTCCCATATCTGTCAGTGGACCAAAAAAAAAATCACAAAAAAGAAGCATATGGAGAGATTCATTCACCTTTCCTTCTTCCATATATGTTAAAAGCTCAAACTAATCATAGACAAGACATGTAGGGCTATAAGGGACTTCAAGAGGTCATCTACTCCACCCCCTTGTGCCAAGGCAGGATTAAGTAATATTCTTAGTAATTTAGGCAAGACTTTTCCCTACTTAATTCAGCCCATGCTCTAATAAATGCTCACCCCATAAGCAGGCATTTCAACAAAGCTCTGGTTTGTCCTGGCGTCTTGGGAATTACAAATGACAGTTCTACTTTTATAGGCTTTACATTTCACTTTCATTCTGCCAGGTAAGGATCAGAAGCACAGAGCTCATCCAGAACTACGTCTCCCATATGACAGACACAGCCTATACCAGCAGATATCTAGGCTTAAATTTTGAAGGTTTTACATAATTTCACATAAAAATGATAACAATTAACATGTTTTTCCTACAGCAACAGCCCCTCATATGGATGAATCATAACCAACACAGCAGCTTTGGGTTGGTTTGTTCTCCTAGATCTCTCATCCTTGCAATATGTAGGGTACTGAAAGTGACAAAAATCCCAGTGGCAGGATCACAAGAACAAAAAAGTCTAGAAGTGCAGACAGGTGGCATGCTGCGCAGAGTTAAACAAACCCAAATGTAGCCAATTAGTTCATTTTTGCATTCATTTATTGTATATTGTGTGATGTTATGATTATTCATATATCGGGGTCCTCAAACTTGGGGTCGGGATCCTTGAGGGGGTCGCAAGGTTATTACATGGGGGAGGGGGTGTCGCTGAGCGGCACTCAGCATGGAGGTTACTGAGAACCATCATCTCACTGTTGCTGTCCAGAGGTGATCAGAAGCAAGCAGAAGACACTAAACTGCCTCCTCCAAAAGCAACTGTATCCCAAAGCCGGGGTTAGATGGGTCAGTGGGGGATGGTCACGAGCTTTCCCCAAATCCTATTTTCTCTGTAAATGTATTTAATTGTTAACCTCACCTCATTTGCTGCTTTTTCCAAAAGTGACTTCTTATCACAGGATTTGAAAGATTCAAAAGTGTTGGTGTTATATAACATTCCGACAGCAGGACAGCAGTGTGCTGGGGTGGCAGCATTCCTAGACAGGAGACAATGACACTCTTGGAACCACATACTAACATTTTTGCCAGAGCTTTCATTAACAGTAACTAATGGGAGCTCTCACATTAAGCTCCAAGGATGCAGAGTTTTCCAAGCAGAGTGGTGACTATATACATCACAATGAGGCAGAAGGCAAGTCAAGGACAGTTCCACTTAAAATGCTTGTAGGCAGTTACAAAAATGTGCTTGCATTCAGGGACAAAAGAGACATGCAACTCAGTAATTATTAGGATGACTTGATCAACTGAAGGCTTAGAAATGCAGAGGACACCTCATGACACAATGACAAATGCCACTGTGGTATTGGAGATAGGAAAGAGCTGGAAAATATTAGTTTTATACTTCTGACAAAGATTATGAAGATAGACAGTCTCGTGTGTACGGTTTGACCTACCTCAATGAATTCCTCGCAACTTTTCAAAAGCATATGAGAATTCTGCCTTTTAAGAGTATTCCCCAAATACTCCATTAAGTGTTTATAGCCTTTAAAATTTAATTTAGAAATTTTTGTGCTGTACTTCAGATCCCTAATAGAGATGGAGACGTTTTGCCCTGATTCAGCAAAGCACATGCTTTAGTGCTTTATCGAATGGGAATCAGTTTAAGCATCTGATTAAGTGTATTGCTCACTGAAGGTCTTTTTAAATAAAATTACTACTATTATTCATAAAAGCCTGCAAGACATTCCTTGCTTACTGCATTTTCCACATCATCGCAGTTACTCACTTATCTCTAGAAGGTGCAAGGAGGTTCAAATATCATAGAATCATAAAATATCAGGGCTGGAAGGGACCTCAGGAAGTCATCTAGTCCAACCCCCTGCTCAAAGCAGGACCAATCCCCAACTAAATCATCCCAGCCAGGGCTTTGTCAAGCCTGACCTTAAAAACTTCTAAGGAAGGAGATTCCACCACCTCCCTAGGTAACGCATTCCAGTGTTTCACCACCCTCCTGGTGAAAAAGTTTTTCCGAATATCCAACTTATGTCACATCATAATGTAAATTTTCCATGAGCATTATGATTTTCAGTGAAGAGCCCCTTGGGGAATCTCTGGGATAAATACATCTTTTTTAAAAAATCAATTTTCTTTTAAACTAAAAAAAAAAAAAAAAAAAGGTGATTCAGTTAAGAGTGGTACATTAAAAATAAAGACATCCCAAAGTGAACATAAAACAACATAGTACTAATGTTGAACAGTTAAAGTCAGAAAATCCACAGGTTCTGTTATCTATAGCAACATTAACTAGACAATGCTCCTTATAGATATTAGTGTGTTTTATTCAATTTCTTTACTGGTAAAATTTGTGGTTTAGTAAATTAGGCTGCAATACTGCAAATAATTTATGCTTGCTTCATTCAATGGATGTGAATAGTTCAATGACTTCCATGAGATTGTTTACATGTGTAAAGTTGCAGTGTTTGTAGGATCAAGGCCTTAATGATGATCAGAAAAGATAAATTATAAATATACAGGACATGCAACTTCTGCAGAATTTAAAGCCAAAAGAGACCATTTTGATCATGTAGTCTGAATTCCTGCATAAAACAGGTAGGAGAATTATTCCACCCAGTAATTCCCGCAGTAGAATTCTTCCTCACTGCATAAGTGAACATTTGGTTGTTGTAATATTGCCATAAGAAATTAAAATAGCCCTGATATCAAGTTACAAGTTTGTTAGGTTCAGTCCCTCTGGGGCACTTGGCATTGGCCACTATCAGTAGATAGGATACTGGGCTGGATGGACCTTTGGTCTGACCCAGTATGGCCATTCTTATGTACATACAATTTTTGTTCTCCACAATTTTCTTCAGTTCCCGATGTTAAAACAGTGTTTTCTGAGATGATTTTGTTGTGTTTCAATGTGACATTTACAATCTCCTGCAGACAAACAGTTCCAGTGGTAGCTCCTATCTTTTCAAAGTCATTAGTGAGGACAATTGTGAAAATCAAATTGAGATATCAAAATGTGGGTAGATCCTCATTAAAATTCTGCTAATACTCTTAGAAGATGCACACCAAGCATATTCATAAGTGATTACGTAAATTAGGTGTAGCTATATTATCCCCCCCCTTTTTTTTTAAGCTGCAAAATCACATAAAGTACTTACACATCAAAGGCACTAAACTCCAATGTTAAACGAGCTGGTAGACCAAAAGGATCACCTGGACAAAAACAAAGTTTCTTTTAAATAACAGCAGCAGCAACTATATCACAGTAAAAACAACAGACCAAATATCAGAGGGGTAGCCGTGTTAGTCTGGATCTGTGAAAGCACCAAAGAGTCCTGTGGTACCTTATAGACTAACAGATGTATTGGAGCATAAGCTTTCTTCTGGTGAATACCCACTTCTTGCATCTGAAAAAGTGTGTAAGTGGGTATTCACCGAAGAAAGCTTATGCTCCAATACATCTGTTAGTCTATAAGGTGCCACAGGACTCTTTGCCGCTTTCACAGACCAAATATAGTTTCCTGAACCAAGGGTAAAATCCTGCTCCCATTGAAATAAATATGAATAGAATAAGAATCTCTAGTTTTTCATATAGCCACAGATTTTTTTATATATACACACTCACATATATACACACACACACACACCCCTCATATCTTTTTTCTGTGTCTTATTATGACTGTGGAATATTTTGTACATGTACTACAAATTCTTATAAACAGAAATATAATTAAACAAAAGACAACGGGAGAAAATCTGGTATGCCTAATAAAAAGTTCAGTTTTTACCTACCATTATAGTAGTAGCCTTTGATACCTTTCGGAGTCTCATCTAATCTATACTCATTGAGTTTCTTCTGTGTCAGCTCATGCCAGAATCCCGCATCCAAGGCACTGGTGAAGGGAACAAACTGTAGCTTTGGGATTCCAGGTTCCAGAGGATTATGTGCCTCACTACCAGCAGTTGCCATTATTTTATACAATTAAAGCTGTTAAAAACAGACAAAAATTCTGTGAGAAGAGTCATTCCTGATAGCTACTTATAGAGCTGGTTATGTTGGCTTTGGAGGTTTAACAGTGTTTTGTTTTTCAAAACCTACAGATGTCATTTACAACAAACACACAAAATGACAAAATCTTTAGTATACTAGCCAAGCCCTCTCTCTATGTAAGAAGCGAGAAATTCATTTGCGGAAGAGGGGTGTGCGTGTGTACACACACGCACACCCACCCACACCCCTTCTGTAAATTAAGTTCTCGCTTCTTCGGGAAGATTTTTTCTTCAACATGCTCATTCAGTGCCAGAGAGACGCAAAGACAAAACTGGTCTAACTAAACCTAATAAACACCAGATTCAAGGGTGGCCAAAGCACACTCCAGAAACCACATGTGGCCCAGTAGCCAGCGCCGGCCTTGTGGGGGGGCTGCGCGACCGCCCAGGGCACCGTGCACAGGCGGTGGGGGGGCTCCCTCTACAGAGTGTCAGAACAACAGACCCCCCCCGCCCAGCCCGGCTCCGCCCCTCAGCCCTGTTCACCTCCGCCGCGGTCCGCCACCATCCCCCGCGCCGCCTGCCCCTCCGACCGCTCCACCTCCGAGTCCGCCCAGCTCCTCCCCCAGGCCCCCTCGGCCACCATCCCCTGCTCCGCCTCCTGCCCAACTCCTCCCGCAGCCCCGGTCCGCCAGCACCGCCCGCCCGCCTGTCTCGCCTCGCCCCGCCTCTACCTGCCCCAACTCCTCCCCACATCCTCCGCTCCGCCCCGCCCCCATCACCCTCTGCGCTCCGCTCCCGGCCCCGTCCGCCATCACCGCGCCCCGCTCCGCCCCCAGCGCAGCTCCACCCCGAGCCTCGCCCGGGGCGCCATCTTAGGCAAGGTCGGCCCAACGTATTTAAAGAATTGGCCTGTTTTCCGCAGCTTAGCACCCATGCGAGCAGCAACCCCTTTCTTCCATTTGCTTCTGCTGTTACCATGAGTGAATGTGCTCGAGTCAGCTAGAGACGGGTCTAGCGCCAACAAAATCCAAGAGATGGGTGCCAGAAGGGAAGGTGGAATAAGAACAAAAATCACCTGGCAAGTAAAGAGCCAGCCTGCAGCCGACTGAAGTGTCCCTCTCCCCGCTCAACCTCGCTTCAAAGCGTTTGGCCACCCTGATAATCAACATAGCTGTGAAGTGTTGCTAAAAAGCCAGTTCTGAAACAAATTTGATTTGGATGGGGAAGAAACACTCCCTACCTTTCATTAATGTATTTCAACATTTTGTCTTAAATGAGTGAAATTAGCAAAACCTACAAATAGCAAGTGTGAAAAAAAGCTTGGTGTCCACCCTTTATTCATTTGTGAATAAAACAATCAGTTCCGAAAAATATTTTGCTGACTGCTATAATGGAAGACTTATCAAATTGGAGTTATACCATACAACCAGGGATGTTTACATTTTAGAAGGCCTTTATCCACTTTTATTTGGCACAAACTTAAAATTTTGTAAAAATGAACTTTCAAAAAAAGCAAACTAATGTTTTCAGAATTTTACACTAATCTCCCTGAAAACAATGCTTAGTCAGCAAATAAACATTTTCCCCCCCTAAATCTAAAACAAAGTTTACAGCACTAAGAATCTCAAAGTGAAGCAATTTTAGAGGGAAAGGAATGTAAATCTGACTTTATTACCTTTCATATTCTAAACTGAGGGAAATGTATATTCTCAACTAAGAGCTCAAATAATGACAATTTGATTATTAATAGGCTTTCATTTGCAATCATGGTATATATAGCATAGGTGAAGACGTACTTATAACAATCAACTTTTAAAACTGACATCTCTTTAGCCTGCTGCTGGGTATCAACCTGAAATCTAATCTAGACCAAAAAATAAAGTAGTATGCCATCCATTGAGCCCCTCTGCCAGTGTTTGTGGTTTTACACTCATACCAACTTATTTTTACATATTTTTCTTTCCCCCGTTTTAACCCAAAAGCCCCACATCAAGAAGAAGGGAAACTGATAGCAGAATATACAGAAAGAAAAGGAGTACTTGTGGCACCTTAGAGACTAACCAATTTATTTGAGCATGAGCTTTCGTGAGCTACAGCTCACTTCATCAGATGTTTACCGTGGAAACTGCAGCAGACTTTATATACACACAGAGAATATGAAACAATACCTCCTCCCACCCCACTGTCCTGCTGGTAATAGCTTATCTAAAGTGATCAACAGGTGTATGGGGGTGGGGGGGATGTGAGAAAACCTGGATCTATGCAGGAAATAGCCCGACTTGACTATGTAAAGAGTTGTCACTTTGGATGGGCTAGCACCAGCAGGAGAGTGAATTTGTGTGGGGGGGTGGAGGGTGAGAAAACCTGGATTTGTGCTGGAAATGGCCCACCTGTTGATCACTTTAGATAAGCTATTACCAGCAGGACAGTGGGGTGGGAGGAGGTATTGTTTCATATTCTCTGTGTGTATATAAAGTCTGCTGCAGTTTCCACGGTAAACATCTGATGAAGTGAGCTGTAGCTCACGAAAGCTCATGCTCAAATAAATTGGTTAGTCTCTAAGGTGCCACAAGTACTCCTTTTCTTTTTGCGAATACAGACTAACACGGCTGTTCCTCTGAAACCTGTCAGAATATACAGAGTTAAAGGTGAAAATGATTGTATATTAAGCTGTTGTCAAATGCACATCGTAAACAGACTGCAAAAAAAATTTGGTTTTATTCTTTCACTTATTGTAATTTAACAAGTGTGTAAAATATTTCCTGCCCACCACTTGGTCCTCTGAGGGCTCCTCTCTGCCCCCTGGCCTCACTCCCCTGCTCCTCTCGGCCCCCTGGCTGGATCCAGTGCACCCCAGCTCCAGGCAGTCTCTGCTTCCCACCACCTGTGGGGCCCCATCTGTCTCCCCAGAGCTGAGCCACCTGGGACTGGTGCAGAAGCCTGGCCAGTCTCAGCCAGGTGGAGGGGACGGGACAGTGTGGGGGACTTGGCTGGGCCCCTCCAGGCAAGGTGTCTTGACTGATTGCACCACTCCTGAAGGGATGGAGCAATTCCTAGCCCCGGGGCCAGCCCTGGCTGTGCTGCTGGCTCAGCCCAGCAGATACAATCACCTCCCAGAAGAGCCAGTGAGTGCAGCCAGGAGAGAGGGTTTGGGGGAGTGGGTCTCTGGGAGGTCTGGGGGGGGGGTGTTAGGCCGTGAGGGGGTGGGAAAGATCTGTGTGTGTTGGGGCACTAGGGAGTAGGGGTTCTGTGGGGGCGCTGGGCCATTGTGGTGGGGCCGTGGGCAGGGGAGCATTGGGCATGGGTGGTATGCAGGGCCCTGTGCATTTGTGTGTGGGGAATCTGGGGGGGCGCTGGGCATCGGGAGTCAGAGGGTGTTGTGCAGGGGGGCTGTATGGCGTGACATGGGCCTGCCCCAGAGGGGAAGGAGTAGGCTGGCAGCACAGGGCCGGGCAGGCCACTGTGTGTCTGGCAACTGCTGGTGGAGTGGGGCCACCCCTGCCATGCCATGCCCCATTACCCCGGCTGGCCCCTCGCTCTGGGGACTGACCTCCCCGCGCCATGCTTCATTGCCTCCATGGGGGCCCACAAATATGTTTGGCGCCAGGCCCACAAAAGGTTAATCCGGCTCTGCACTGCATACGAACTTTAAAGGCAGTCAGCTATCCCACTGCCCCAGTTCTTTCTAGCTACAGTGCAATATTAACTGCCTATGACTATAGAGTTGATCAAGAAATAGAATTTTCCTTCTGCTGTAAGGAATTTTGACATTTCCAAATTAGCTTCCATTATAAATCATAATGGAAATTGAAAGTATCAAATTAAAAATCCCAAGCAGTTAAGAATTGTAAATGTTGAAATGAAAAACATAATTTTGTTTTTAAACATTGACTTAAAAATATTCATTTTCATTCTCCTGATTGGAAAAATCAGAAAATTGTCAAAATCAACACTTTCTGAATAGAAAATGTTTTGTGCGAAAAATTTCAGCTAGTTCTACCTATGACCAATTGTCGCATTTATATCACCTCCACAGTAGTCACTATTTTCAGATTTATTGTGAGTTCTTCTAAGTCCTACTTCCATCTGGATCCCATCTAAATTGTACTTTTATGGCCTAATTTTCTTTCTTCTGTTTTTACAGCTTTTCTAGGCATATCATTTTATTACTATTTTTGTAGGTTTTTTTCCATTATAAAGAGGACCTGAAAAATGCACTACTAGAATTAGAAATGTCATATAGGTCACTACTAGAAAATGGTCATCCTCCCCTGCTGAAAATAGGAGCCGAAGCCACCCAATTTCTGAAGAATTTAAACTTTTATTTAAAAAGGTTGTGAAAGATGACCTTCCAGACACCAAATGTAAACAGGCGTTATGTTGTCTTCCTGAGTCTTCAGGCAGAGAGTGCCTCTGTTGCTGCTCACAGATTTGCCAAGCAGTAACATGAAATTAACTAGACTCTGGTCTGTCTTCCAGCTATTATTCAGAACTCTGGTGAAAACAACTGAACTGTAAAAATAATATCAGTTTTATTTCCTTGCTGCTACATGGGAAAACTATGAGCAGCAGCAAAACAGGTGTTGAGGAGGAAAGCAAAAAAGAGGGTGGGCATGGGGTAGAGCAGAGACCTCTTTCTTTTCCATTCCACTGCAGTGGAATAATTTCTGTAATAAAAGTAGCATTATCACATTCAGTCACAGTAAAGAACCAGCGCTGCTTGAAGCACAACATAGCAGAACTAATAAAGGTTACTCCCTATATGACATTTCTAATTTATAAATGCAGGGTAATTCTTTCTCTATTAGCCAACTGGGATACAGAAGGAAAACTTGAGATGTGTGCGTATCATGGACCCTTAAGAATCTGTGTAATAAATGTAAGTGTTATAAATACTGAGTTTTGGCACATTCTGCAGATAAGACATCACCTTACATTTGTAGGAACAATAACCAGAATATCGTTCTTAATTTAAGAGCAGAAAACAATTGAGGAATGTAGCTAGGTGGTGTGGCTCCCCACCGCCCCGGATAGGGTCGAGCCCCTCCAGACACCAGAGTGGGCGGAGCCAGGAAGCTCTGAGCCCGCCCCTCAGAGGGACTGGTGGCGACCCAGAAGTAGAAAGGCGGGCCCTCAGAGCTCACTAGAGGACCAGCCTCGGGGGAGGCCAGACATAGCCAGCCTAGCCCGCGACTGGGAAAATTCTGCGGCCCCAGGTCCACGCCAAGACTGGCCGGACCTGCCCTGTGCCAGCTATCCGGTGGAGTTGCCGGACCTGCCCTGCGCCAGCTATCTGGGGGGGTTGCCGGACCTGCCGCTAGTCCCCTGCCCCGAGGAACCTATGGTGCTGGACCCCCTGGAGAACACCACTGTGATCCAGGTACCTGAAGGAGGGGAGTTAGGAAGTAGCCCGGGGACAGCCGACCCTAGTCTGGCTGTAACTCTGCCAGAA